AAACAGAAAGGAACAAAGAAACAGAGAAAAAAAGGAACAAAACGAAAGAGAAAGAGACAGGAAGACAGAGGGGACGAGAGAGCAGCGCCCAGCCACCCAGGCCTCCTCTTAGGAACGGGATTCGGATTGAACGAAGGGACCCGCAGAGAATGAAAGAAAGAGGACARTGTCCTAGTGATGTGAGGGACCCTCGGCACAGCCCTGCTGGATTCAGGCCACAGTAAGGGACCCTGTGCCACAGACACCGGCCTGCACATACTGTGCTCCAGTGCACACCAGCCACACACACCCCGGGCAGGCGCACAGCAGCCACAGAACATCACACAGTGCAACACAAACACACACACACACAAACACACACACACACACACACACACACACACGCCTGGACCGTGGGACAGGAGTGGGGGAGCTCAAGGTGTAGGAAGGAGAACAGGGGTCCAGACCCAAGAAATCGCACACACGTGCACACTCACAAAGAGAAGCAGGATGCCCAGGGCAAAGACAGGTGGGAGACCCACAGGAAGGGCAGGAGCTGCGGGCCTCCCTCCTCTCTTGGAGACTGTGTCTGTCTGTCCTTTGTCTCTCACACTCTGTGGCCCTTGCTCGGGCTTTTCTGCTGCCTGGGGGGCTCCCCCCTGCTGCCCTCCTCCCCTCCTTTCTCCCACCCATCCTTTGGCCTTTGCTTGCTGAGGGGGCCCTCCCTGCCCCTCTGGACAGGCTCAGAACCGGCTCCACTCTCCTGAGGTCTCAGGCCTTTCTGCATGTCCCTCCCACCTGTCCTTCAGGCCTTGTGGAAGGCTGGACCTGGCTGGTTTCCTCACCCCTAACCCCTAACCCCAGCCGGGGGGGGGGGGCCTTCAGCAGGGGCTCTGTGGAGCTTGCCAAGGGAAGGACGCAGAGCCAGCAAGGGAACGAGCCGATGAGGGCTTCTGCGCCAGAGTGAGAGGGAGCAGGAGCTTCGGGACTGAGCTGGAGAGAACGAGCTGAGGACCAAGGAGCGAGCAGAGGGCAGGGGAGGGAAGAATCCAGATAAGGCACGAGGTGTGGAGGGCCTGCAAGTGGGGCCTGGTGCCCATGCACACACCTGACAGAGGCTGCCCTCAAAGGGGGAGAGAAYAGGGGGTGGGAGGAGGGCTGCCCCTCTGCCTCGCTGCCACACACAGGGACACGGGTGCACCCACACAGGCCGTGCAGCAGGCAGGAGCATCATGGAGTGACAGGAAAGCAAGCCCTGGGGATGGCAGGGACTCCACACAGCTGCAGCAGGGGGMGGGGCAGCCGCACAGCGCCCTGGAGACACCTCAAGCCTAGGGGGCAGGAGGTCCAGGGACGGGCCGAACCCCCCCACAGACACCAAGTCCACCCTGTGCTTTGAGGGAATCAAAACCAAAGAAAGGGACAGAGCAGCTAGCGGCTAGGGGCTAGCGTGGAGAGATGGACAGAGAGACAGAGACAGAGGGAGGGGAGAGGCACTCACACACACCATCTGGCTTTGATGCACGTCCCAAGCCCAGCATAGGGCAGAGTCAGTTCATGGGGGGACGGGGACCCACAGTCAACCGGGCCCAGCCAAAGAGGCACCAGCAAATCTCCAGCCCACGGGAGCTTTAGGGACTGTAAAGTGTTTAATTTTCTCTTACAATAAAATAAAGATGAACTTTGGCTCAAAGGAAAAACAGATTTTTTTAAAAAATAGTGCTGGGGATGAAACCCGGGTCTCGCACAGACGGGCCAGGCAAGCTCTCCCCCCAGCTCCACCCAAGCCCTTAGAAAATGTCTCGATACATAATAGTGACACSGCCCCCTTTTTATCAATGTTGTCATAAAACACAATTTTGCAAAAGTCAGAACAGGGCTCTGTCTGGGTGCCAGCCTGGGCCGAGGTTAGGACAGATGCCATCACAGGGAACACTGGAGACCAGGGGACACGGAAAGGGGCCAGGCTGAAGAACGAGGGACGTCAGGGCGCAGGGCAGCAGGCAGGAGCAGGGAGCGCTGGGCAGCTGCAGGAGCCTCAAGTGCCTGGGGGGCGGGGGACAAAGAACCCAGCAGGCAGCGGGGGAAGGGGGGGGAGTGAAGGGCCACAACAGAGCCCCAGCCCCCAAGGCCTGCGGCCAGCACCAGAGGGGAACAGCGCTGCCTCTGCAGAGGGCACAGGCGTTTAGGGACTCAGGTGGGCTGCAGGCGGGACGCCTGGGGGTGCTGCAGGGAAACCCTCCTGGAGGCAGCCCTGAGGTGGAGGCTGCATTGAGACGGAGGCTGCAGGGAGCATGGGCCATGAGAAGCAGAACACCCCAGGACCCCCAGGGATGGGGGAAAGCAGGTGGGCACCTGCACACACACACACACACACACACACACACACACACTCACACTCACACACAAATGTGTAAGCCGCAGGAGAGGGGAGGGAGAGACAGGGAGACAGACCCTCTGGCTCAGGAATTCAGCCACATCATCCTGCGCACACACACCCACCCCAACCTGGACAATCGGGGAAAGAAATGGACATTCAAAAAGACCATTGCAAGAGGAAGGCAGAGGCTGACACTCACACGTGGACACTGGTCCAGGATCCAGGAGACATGCTCGTGGGGCAGAGTCCCAGCTCTGGGGGTGAAAACCCAGGAGAGGAGAGGGTTGGGGACAGCAGGAACCAGGATGCACCCACCGTGGTCAGAGAGCTCAGCCTGCTCCAGCTCTGGGGCCACAGGAGACTCGCCCACACAGGCGACGTCTGATGTAAGAAGAGGGTCCTTCCACGGGYGGTGGCAGATCACCTCCTCGGGATGGACTTTGGGGGTCTTCGAACTTCCTTCGGGTCCATCGCAGACCACCCCCACCCGGCACCCCCAGGGACACAGGGACCGCGCACAGCCTCATCTCAGGATCGCCACCTACACAGCAGCACCCTCTCCACTCAGGCCTGGCAGCCCCCGCGGCCCCACCCATTCCCCAGAGTCTGCTGTCACCACCGCCAGGCATCCAAGTCCAGAACCTCCCAGTCTTTGGGGTCCTGGGCTTGGCCTGGCGCTCCTCCCAGTGTGACTCCCCAACACAGGTACAGACTGCACACACAGCCCCCACGGCCATCCCCATCGGATCCTGTCCCTGTGGCCTACTGCCCTCCAGCCACCAGCATTACCGGGACAAAGGCCCCTCTGACTGCCCCCACCCACTCTCCGCACACAGTAGATGTTCAGTAAACCCGCAGCCACGTTCTGAGGTCTCTTTGTGTTTAATCAGACAATATGCAAAGTATTTACAACCAATTCTAGGTCCCCCCGCCCCCCCAAGCCTGGGCCATGGAATGTGGGACCCCCAGGCCCTGCCCAGAGCCAGGGGTCCCCGAGGCCTCTGCATAGTCATCTGAAATCTACAAAACACTGTTTAAAAAAAATAGGACAGTATGAAGATGCCTTACACCCAGGGCCTTGGGCAGCTGGAGGAGTGACGGGGAGCGCAGGGGTGGGCGGGCCCAGGCTCGACTGGAATGGACAGGAAGAGACCTGGGAGATGGACATGTGTAGAAGGAAAAGTCGGAATTTCCTAGGCAGGTGCCTCCTTCCCCCCTGCCAGGGCCTGGCTGGCTCAAGAGCCCCTGGCAGCGGGGACGTTATTGCTGTGATGGGGACAGTGGGTGGAATGGACCATGTGTCGGGGGACAGAGAAGGGGCATTTTTTACATGTTAAATATGGACACACATGGAGACACACACACGTGCACACACACATACACAGGGGGCCCTTGGCAAGATGCCACACATCGTCAGCTGCCCACTTTACAGATGGGCACACTGAGGCTGGAAGAGAAGCCACCACATACCCTGAACAGCAGAGCCAGGGCCCCAAGTCTCCCGACGGGCTCACCACAGGTGCCCTGCCACAGGGGTGGACAGGGCTGAGCAGCCGCAGAGACCGCGGCCATGCGAGGGGCAGACGCCGCAGCTCAGAGAAGCAGCAGATGCCCGAGGTCACACAGCCCCTCCGGGCCCGCCCTCTCCGACCCTGGCCAAGGCACTCCTCGCCCTACTCGAGAGTTCAGGGTGCCAGCTTGGGGGGAGAGCGGGTACCACGTTGAAATGTTCAGGACAAACTGGGAAGGAGGCCCGCCCAGAGCCTCAGCCTTAGCTCTCCCTTGCCTCTGGAACCCGGGAGCAATGCCCTGTCATGGCTGGTGGCTCCAGGAACCAGACCACCCGGGGGCTGACGGAAGCCCCCACACCCTCCCCTGTGGCCGCTCCTTCCCTCCGTTCTCCCCACCCCCAGACCGGCCTCTGCCGTCTCTAACCCGTCCTGGCCCCTGGCCCCTGGGCTGCTCTAGTCTGTCCCTAGTGCCCCTGAGGACCATTCTGTTCCTAAGGAAGACAGGGGAGCACCAGGCACCATCCCTCAAGTGCCCTGGCATCTGGGCAAGTCACATCCTCTCGGACTCTGCTTCCCGAGGTCAGACGGGAGGAGGGAMCGGAAGATCTCCACGGGCCCTGGGGTGGGCGGGGCAGGGCAGGGCTCACGCTGGGCTGGAGCAGGGGGCCCTGGGCCAGCAACCTCCACCCAGGTTTCAGAAAGAGATGGCGAGGGGCGGGCGGCGGGAGGCTGAGGGCCGGGGCCACCGCTCCTCTTTGGAAAGGCTCTTTGGCCAGCTGTGGGGATGGGCCGGGGCCTCTGGGGAGGGACAGAACCAGGCGAGCCGGCAGGTTGAGGCTGGGAAGACGGCGCCCAGCCCCAGCCCTTCTCCCCAGCGTCTCCTCCAGGGACGGGCAGAGGAGGGACAGTGGAGAGGAGGCGGGTGGCCAGGGCAGGCCCTGGGACAGTCACTGTGCCGGCTCTGGGCCCRTCCTCACGGGCGCACCACGTCCCAAAGCCCTTCCGTGGCCCCAGAGACAGAGCAGCCTTGACCCTGGCCGTCAGCCCCGCAGGAGGAGCAGCAGTGGGCGGCAGAGGAGGCCAGGCCCCGCACGCACGGGCCGCTGCCCAGGGCTGGAGCCGAGAACAGTCCGGCCCGCCTGCTCCTATAGGTTCTCCCCGGGCTGGTACTGGGGCTCCGTGGACGTGAAGTAGTCCTCCAGGAAGGCCTGCAGGTACTCAAAGGTGGGCCGCTCCTCGGGCTCCTTCCGCCAGCACTGGCACATGAGGTCGTGCAGGGACTCGGGACACTCGGGCGGGCAGGGCATCCGGTAGCCCCGCTCCACTTGATCCAGCACCTCCCGATTCACCATCCCTGGGGGCAGAGGGGGCGTGAGGAGCCTGGCTCCAGGCAGGAAGTGGGGCGGGAGAGCTCCTAGGGCAGGCGGGGACATGAGAGGCCCTGAGAGAACCTGTTACACACTGGGGAAGCCGCTGGGAGGGAGTGGGGCTGCCCCGAGGCCACCAGGGTCCAGGGATTTGGGGACCCATGGGGTCTGTGGACGCTCCTCACCAGGGTAGGGCACTCGTCCCTTTGTCGTGAGCTCCGTCAGCAAGATTCCAAAGGACCACACGTCTGACTTGATGGTGAACCGGCCGTAGAGGGCGGCTTCTGGAGCCGTCCACTTGATGGGGAATTTGGCCCCTGCGGGCGGGAGAAGGTCAGGGAGCTGCCGCGAGCACTCTGCCCCCGAGGCCCCCTTCTCATCTCCGCCTGGCAGACCGAGGCTCAGAGGCGGAGCGCAGCCTGCTCACCTTGCCGGGCCGTGTACTCGTTGTCCTCGATGAGCCGGGCCAGCCCGAAGTCGGCCACCTTGCACACCAGGTTCTCCCCAACCAGGATGTTAGCGGCGCGGAGGTCCCGGTGCACGTAGTTCATCCGCTCCACGTAGGCCATGCCCGAGGCGATCTGCAGGCAGAGCCAAGCTGGCTCAGCAGCCACCTCAGCCCTCCCAGGGTCCCAGGACACGTCCAGGATGCGGCCATCCCAGGGAGGAGCCCCCTCCCTGCCCTCCCCACAAAGACTGCAGGAATCGCTGCTGCTGTAAAAGGCAGGACTGGAGCTAGCAGGGGGAGGGGCTCTAGGCAAAGGGGCCACATGACAGAGGCAGCTGGGCAGTGGGGTGACCAGGAACACAGCCCCAGCTGGCCCGCAGACAGACACAGGCCAGCTCCTGCCTGCTCTCCAAGGTGCCTCTCTGAGCTTCAGTCTCAAGCGGGAACAACAGCTAATCTCATTCTCCTGACTCTGATCAGGAGCAAATGAAAAAGTGGCTGTGGGCTCCACCCACAGCAAGCAGTAATGCACATTTGTTGAGTGACTAAATGACCGTAACAGAGAAGGAAACTGAGGTCTCATGGTCAGTCAGTGGTTCCTGATATCCAGGTAAGGTTCTCTGTCCAGAACCACCACTCGCTGCACCTGTGGGTGGTTCCAGCAACGTGGGGAGAGGAGAGTGTGCAGCACTCCAGGCAGGCCTCCCAGAGGGGGTGCTCAGGAGGCTGGAGTGGCCGTGGCAGGTCTGGGAGCTGGAAGGTAGGGCCCCGGCTGTGGGAGGCGGGATCGGCCGACTCACCTGAGCAGCCATGTCCACCAGCTGTGGCAGGCGCAGGTACTTGCCCGTCTCCCCCTTGAGGAAGTCCAGCAAACTCCCTGAACAGAGAAATAAGCTGTAGCCCTGCACTCCCATCCTGCACCAAGAAGCTGCGATTCCCAGGCCCTGTCCCGGGCTGCTGGCCTTGCTGTGACCAGCACAGCAGGTGCTGCATGGCCCTGTTTCTGGGTAAGTGTCACTCACGCCTGTCACTCAGAAAGCAAGCAGGACAGGCAGGGAGGCCCCGCCCACTATAGGTGGGGAGACTGCAGTGGGACCTGCCTGGTGATAGGAAAGGGTGCACAGTAGGGCCACTCTGCGAGGTCAAGGGGACTTGTGTGAAGTTACCCAATCCACACAAGCCCACCACGACAGAAAGCAGACAGTGGTCACCTGGACTTAGGGCCCGAGGGCATCATCTGCCAAAGGGGAATGGGAACTTCGGGGCGATGGAGACGCTCAGGCTGTGGAAAGGGGCATAGAGAATCCCTGTGAAACTGCACTGGCTGGGTGCAGAGGCACGGCCTGTAATCCCAGCTACTCAGGAGGCTGAGGCAGGAGGATCGCAAGCTCGAGGCCAGCCTCAGCAACGTAGTGAGATCCTGTGTCAAAATAGCATTTTTCAAAGAAAGTGGGGCTGAGGGTGTGGTTCAGCGGCAGAGTGTCTGCATGGGCGAGGCCTGGTTTCAACCCCAGGACCAACGACAGCAGCAAAGTGGCCGAGTTCAAGCCAGGGACTTGCCTGGACCTGGGTCAGCTGGGGGCAAGGAGCTCTCTTTTAGCCCAAGGACAGCAAACAGCTTTAGACACCAGCGAGCGACGCGTAGAGCTAAATCACCCAAACAAACCGAGTCGGGAGAGGGCCATCTGGGGACCTTCCCTGACGGGGGACTTGGGTCTGTGCCTTCACCTGGGCAGAGGCCCCTCCAGTGGGGGAGGCAGCCCCCCGGCCGCCCGCTCACCCTTGCTCATGTACTCCGTGACGATGTAGATGGGCTCCTCCGACACCACGGCGTACAGCTGCACCAGCTTCTCGTGCCGCAGCTTCTTCATGACCTGGGCCTCCTGCAGGAAGGCCTCTGGGGACATGGTGCCCGGCTTCAGGGTCTTGATGGCCACCCTGGTGGTGCCGTTCCAGGTTCCTGTGGGGGAGGGACACAGGCTGCCTCAGCGGAGGCCCCAGTCAGGTGGCATGGGAACGGGATCTGCCTGCCGGGCGCCTGTCCCAGCTCCGGCCTCCCAGCTGTGTGGCAGGCCAGCGCCTTCCGAGCCTCGGTGTTCCCACGTATGAAATGGGCACGAGGACAGAGAGCGCCCCGCAAGGCCAGTACGAGGAAGAAAGGACTCTGGCACGGGTTCAAGTAAGAGCAGCCGTCGCTGGGGACCTGGCCACCTCGTTGCTCGGCAGGCCACCGCCCGCTGAGGGCTGTGGGGGCTGTGCTCCAGGCTCCAGTGGGGTTCTTGCCCCGTGGGGCTTGAGGCTACTTGATAAGTGGCTTTGGCCCATTCTGTCACCAGGCTGGGTCCCAGTCGGCCGAGTCTGTGGCCCTCCTGCACAGGCCACCTGCGAGCAGCTCACAGCACTTCCTGCGTCTACCTGGCGCACCAGGGAGGAGGGGGAGCCTCCTCACAGATACCACATGGCAGGCTCGGTCAGTTTCCCTGTCACCGTGGACGCTGGGGGACCCAGGGCTTCCTCAGCTGCTCCTCGTGGGTCTGAGCCAGGGAGCAGCTTCCCTTGGAGCTCCTGCAGCTCACGGCCTCCCCTCCCCAGACCTGGCCTCCTGCCTCCAGGCCTCTGAATGGGGCCTCTGTTGCCTCCAGCCACCCTCGGAAGGGAGGAGAGCGGAGAGAGAGGGACCAAGTGATGTCCTGTCAGCCTGACGAGACCACCTGACAGGGGCCTGAAGCCACAGGCCAGGAGACCTGGCCCAGCCCCCGCTCTGCGCTCCTGGGTGCAGATGCTGGTGGGCAGGAGTGGGGCCTGGTCCCCTCGGGCTGCGTGGGGCTCATCTCAAGGACGATCTTGCCGCGTCTCCAGGTTAGACACCAGGTTAGACAGGAAATTGCTAACAGCCCAGAACATGCCAAGCCCTCGGCTTCCCGGCCCTCCCGTGGCCAGCGGGACTTTCTCTYCGCATGGCCGAGAGCTAACGCGCGGCCAGGCCAGGGCCGGAGTTCCCACACAGCCCCTGCGATGGGCCCAGAAACACTGAGGCTCAGAGTGAGACCACCCAGCCCAGGCACAAGGGGGTCTCTGGGAAGACCAGCGTCCAGCCCTGAGCAGCTCTTGGTAGACAGCGCCGGGTCTTTAGAGGGAGGGCCGCAGGGAGTCTGCCCGGTCCGGCTCATGTGGAGCCCAGCACTCAGGGCTGCACCCCAGCTGGGTGATGTCCACCACAGGCAGAGCTCCATGTGGTTCAGAGGCCACTGAAGAAAAGGGTACCCAGGCAGCCACACAGAATGGACACCTGCCTGGTCCCCGGGGCAACCTCCACCGGGGGCCTTGCTCTCGACGCACGCAGCTTTCCTTACCCATCCACACCTCCCCGAAGCAGCCCTGGCCCAGCTTGACCTCCAGCCGCAGCGACTCCCGGGGGATCTCCCAGGCGTCCTTGGCCAGGCCCTGGGTCTGCGGCTTGGACGTGGGGCACACCGTGGTGAGGCGGTGGCACAGGCCGTCTGCATGTTCTGAAGACAGAGAGAGCGGAGCTCAGGTGTCTCCCTGGGGCCTCCGGGTCCCCAGTGTATGTGACCTTACTCATCACATGCACAGAGGGCAGGGGACACGCAGAATGCCCTTGGAGAGAGGACCCACGCCTGCGTACATGCCCAGCCTGCACGGCCACGCGCCCTACACCTGCTCGCGGGCACTCTTTCACCCATCCACCAGAGGTGAGGGTGCCAGGAACCCAGAGGGGAAGAGTGTGGGGAAGCTGCCTGGCCCTTGGTCCCCACCCAGTACCACCCAGGGGACGGGAGCACTGTGCTGTGGGCAAGGAGGCAGGTGAGCTGTGCACAGACCCCAGGGGAGGTGGCTATGGGCGGGTCCGCAGCAGGACCAGGTGGGCATCCCCCAGAGGGCTGGAGCAGCCACTCAGAGCCCACAGCTGCAGGTGGAGGCCGGGAGACCCTGCGCACCTGCTGTCACTATTCTAAGACCACAGGGTAGTGCCCCAGGGGCTGATCTAGAGAACAGCGTCCCCTACAGCAGTGGCTCCTAGAGGAATGTGGGAGGCCCAGGTGAGAGAGGAGGAGGCTCAAGTGGGCAGCGGATCGCCCCACACAGGGTCATCCAGATGGGTGGCCATGGGACACCCTGACTCCTGCTCCCTCTGCACTCTCCCCTCCCTCCTGCTGCCATCCATGTGGCAGCCCCCTCTCCCTCCCCCAGTAACCGGTTCAGACCGGTCCTAGAGCTGCAGAGCACAGCTCTACACCAGCCTCACTCAGGCAGCCCCCTCCTCACAGCTGCAGTGGGGGGAGGGGGAGGGGAGGGGGAGGGGCGCACTGGAGTAGTAGGCCACCAGCTGCTGCAGGCTGTTGAACTGGGTGCGGGAGGTGATGTAGAAGCCCCCGCTGTCCAGCTTGCGGATCTTGTAGTGCTTCACGTTGAGGCCCTTGGCGTTGTCAAAGTCGGACACGGAGAGGCAGTAGGCACCTACGGGCGGGGCCGGAGGGAGAGGGGCCGTGACCACCATGCCACCACCTCAGAGCCCAGGCACTGAGCACTGCCCAGGGCCGGGTGCCGTGCCTGCCTGACGCTGGAGGGAAGAGAGGCGGGTGGGTGAGCCCCTAGCACAGAGCTCACTGAGCTCTGGGGCAGCCACAGAGGCCGGGACAAGCAAGGGACACCTGAGCAGAAGAGGCCCACCCCGAACCGTAGCCCTGGCAAGACTTCAATCCTGGGCATGCACCCTAGCTGGGTGACCTTGACAGTGGCTCACCCCTCTGGACGTCACCTTCCTCCTCTACTCAGGGTTACTGGGAAGATCCAGCGAGGCCACATAAGGAGGCCTGGCACACAGTAGGCACTCAGTACGTGTTTGCCAGGAGCCCGGGCTGCCCACATGGCTGTGTGTCCCTGGCCTGGTGCCACACTCCAGTCTGCACATAGGGCTTTGTCTGCAGCCCTTGCTGCTTCCTGAACACCACTCTTGGCTGGCATGGGGGCAGGTGCGCACCCTGACTCTGGGCAAGTGACACTGGCCAAGGCGGCAGCAGCCCTGGGCGGGAGACCTTGGGTTGGGTGTGGTGGCCACAGCTGGTGGCCCCTCCATCCCCTCCTAGAAAACAGCTTCCTCCGCCTGCAGACCTGGCCAGGAGCCCCTAACCAGAGCCAGGGGATGCTGGAGGTGGCCTCGTAGAATGAGGCTGAGCCCCAGAGGTGGGACTCAGGAGCAGCCAGTCCCCATGGCCCACAGGCCTCCCCTGGACAGTCCTCAGGTAGAGACCAGAGTCCCAGCTACAGAAGAAAAAGTCAGGCCCAGAGAGGAAAACTGACCAGCCTCCGGCCACCCCTGCCTCGGGCACAGAGCTGGGACCCCAACCACACCTGAGGGTCCAGAGACAGCTGGGGGCAGCTGTGGCTTCTGCACATGGCCCAGGCTGTGCGCACACAGAAGCCTCAGGCCTGAAGCTAAAGCCAGCCCTGGCCACAGGGGCAGGACCCAGAACGCCCTGCCCAGCGGCCACATGCTCACATTGGCCCGTGCTCCCCAGGGCCCAGGCACAGGACAAACCACCACAGCTCACTCCCAGGAAGAGAAACTCAGTCCCGCCCCCCCTCCTGCCTAGAGGGGCGCACAGCGCCACCAACCAGTGATMCTAACCACACAGGCTCAGCTGGCACCAGGACCTGATGCTCCGCTTTCCCACCCCCCGCTGAGCCCCAGGCCCACAGGAAGCAGCCCAGCTCGGTTGCCATGGTGACAGGGCTCCTGCAACCCACTTTCCGAGGGACTGGAGAGAAGGGGGGCATCTTCACTCTCTAGTGGGGGAGGGCTGGAGGGGGGAGGGGCCAGGGCTGTGGGGGAGGGCGCAGCCCCAGGGGCCTGGAGGGGAGAAGAGGGGCACCGCAGGGCACCTAGGCTGGGAAGGAGTGTGACAGGACCTCCTAACACTCCACCCCCTCCTCATCTGAGAAACAGGCCAGAGAGGCCGAGCCTCATCTCACTAACYCCAGACGACTCAGTGTTCCTCCCATACCCTTCCCTGACCTGCACCCTGCGCCGCGTACCCAGCTCCTATTCGTTTGGCAGCACCAGGCCAAATGACCTGCAGGAGCTGGGTGCCCTCCGCCCAGGGGAGGCCACCTACCTTTCGTGGTCTCGCTCTCTCGCACCAGGAAGGTCCCTCTTGGGTTCTCTGTGTTGAGCAGCAGCCGCTCCGACTCCCGCCTGGTGATCTTGCCAAAATACCATCTGGGTGGGAGGGACGGGGGCGGTGTTGAGGGCCCAGACTTCTGCCACCCACGGGGCCCCTCCTAGATGTGGCTGCGCCATGTGGGATGAGGCTGAGCCCCAGAGGTGGGATCAGGAGCAGGCCAGCTGCAGAGGCCGGCAGGGCAGAGGCCATACTCACTCCTCAGCCTGGATGGAGTCGGAAGGCGCCACGTAGTTGCTGGGGATGTAGCCGGTTTGTCCCGTGCTGAGCGAGTGGGCCAGCCACCAGTCTCCCTCTCTGAGCAAGGGGAAGAGGGAGCAAAGAAGAAGGGGCCATCATCAGGTGAGCCCAGGGGCCTGCCCTAACCAGGTGCCACCACAGCAGGAGGCACCAGGAGGCGGGGCCCACCCCGCGTGCCCAAGCGCACCAGCTGGAGCTGGCCAGGCTCCYGGCCTCCACTGCCAAAGCTGGCTCAGGGAGCTTCGTCCAAGCTGGACAGGACGGAGCTCAGCCAGCCTTCGGCCCAGGCCAGGCAGGTCCTGGGGCAGGAGGGGAGCAGTTCCTTTCAGTACCCAGCCACCTCCAGCACCAAGGGCTGCGGGGAGGGCGCACCCTGACTCTGGGCAGGTGACACTGTTACGGAGAGAAGACCTTCAGAGTTCCCCAGCCCTACRACTCAGAAGCCCAATCCTGGAAGCTGGTGAGCCCTGCACGGAGGCAACGGGTGGCCCTTCTGGGGCCTGGGCACAATCTAGGCTCCGGCCCTGCAAGCTAGAGCAACGCATGCCTCTGCTGCCATCCCAGGCCACAGCTCAGGGTCCTCCTGGGAACCGMAGGCCTCCTCCTGCAGCTCATCCACACACAGGGGGAAACGGAGGCCAGAGGGATGGGGACTTGCCGTAGTCACAGAGAGTCAGGTGGGAGGACAAGGTGGCCCATGAGAAGGAGGGGAGGACGGGAGAGGGACAGGCAGGAAGAGTGCCCGGCGAGGTGGGGCCGGGCAGGGCAGGGGCGCGAGTACCTTTGCAGCCATCTGAATGTGAACCAGGTCTGGCTGGAGCGGGGTCCAGAGACAGAGGAGGGAGGAACAAGCGGGAGCCCAACGGGAGAGAAGAGGCAGAGACGGGGGTGGTGAGAGGCAGAGAGGCAGAGAGCGGGCAGCAGGAGAGCCAGCGGTGCTGGGGACAGGGACAGGGCAGCCACAGAGGCCTCACGTCCAAAGCAACCAACGGGGTCAGGGAGCGGGTCCACGGGAGTGAGGAAAGGCCAGTGGGCAGGACAGCCTGGGAGCCGGGCCACCAGACCAGCCCGCGGTGCAGGTGGGAAGAGGAGGCCAGAGGAGCAAAGGCCACGCCCGACACCGGATGAGGGGCTCCTGGGGGCTGCACGGGGCTGGACAGCTCCTCGGGCCCCCCTCCAGGGCGGCCCTGGGCCTCACGACACATGGCCCTGGCCAGGGCCTACAGAAAGGGCCTTGCCTGCCGCCACACGGTGGGCACCTGAACCAGCCAGAGCCCTGGTCCTTCCCGCGCCCGGCCATAGTCTTCAGCTGAGGCCAGGGGAAAGCAGGGAGCTCCCCAGGCCTCAGAGGACAGGTGAGCACCCGCAGCCCGGGCTCACTGGGTGGGCTGAGGCTGGGCGAGAGTGTGCAGGGTCCCTTCTGGATGGAGAGAGACGGGGCGTGGCTGGGCTTGTGGGCCCGAGTCTGCTACGTGACTGTGCCCTCGGCTCAAGCCCACCTCGGGGAAGAGGCCATTGGGCCCCACCACCCCTGTGCACCCATCTGCGGCCACCTGCACTCTTCTTTCCCCGCTGGACCCTCAAAGGCACCCTCGAGGAAGGAAGGCAAGGCCCCAACCCCCAGCTGAGGAAACCAGGGCTCAGAGACACCTGCCTGGGAGAGAACAGACCAGCACTTTCTTTGTAAAGTTGGGGAAACTGAGGCACAGAGAGGGGCAAGGACTTGTTGTTCAAAGCTACAAAAACTCAGGTCACGGGGAAGAGTCGAGCTCCTCCAGTCCAAAGCCTCTCCAGTGGGGAGAATGAGCACAGAGAGGGCAATGACATACCCAAGCCACACAGCAAATCAATGGCAGAACAAAGGTGAAAACAAGGGCCCCGGAGTGCCCACAGCCAGAGCAGCAGGCCCCTCAGCCTCGTGGGGCCTCGGAGAAGCCAGCGGAAGGCACAGGAGGCGGCTGCAGGATGGGGCCAGGGGACAGGACGTACCAGACTGGGCCAACACCCAAGGCCTAAGGTCTAAGGTCTGAGGCTACAAAATGAGGCCAGAGACCCAATCCCGGGGATCCCAGGTGCCCAGCCGAGGGGAAGGCTGGCGGGAAGCAGGCCCCAGAAGCGGTGGGGTCCACCTGCCTGCAGCAAGAAGAGCCCTGACTTCTTGCCAAGACCCACACAGGAATTTGGGGTTCACAGCAGGTTTGGGGGCTTCTTCATGAGGCGCAGGGACAGAGAGCACGACAGTTTTGCTACGGGACTCAAGGTCCCGGGCCTCAGCTGGCCCTGACCCCAGCGGTGTCTGAGAACGTCAGCTCCAGTCRGCGGCCCTGGGCCCTGGCGGGGTGACCTCGGCCCTGCGCCTCACGTCCCCGGGCCTCCACTTCCTCATCTGGAGGCTGGGAAAGTCCTGCCGCCCTCTGAGGAGGTCGAATGTCAGCACAGGGCCTCAGACAGAGCAGGCGCTCACTAGCTCTCTGGGTGCGGGCCTCCCTGCAGGGCCTCCCTGCTCTCAGAAGCATCTAAACTCCAAAGCGGCCGCCCAGGTGTGGGGAGYGTGCCCGCCACCCAGCTACCCAGAGGGCAGAAGCAGGAGGATCACAAACGAAGGCCAGCCAGGGGCGAGGGGCATAGCTCAGGGGTAGAGCGCCACTGGGTTTGATCCCCAGTACCACAAAAAACATTAAATTAAATTAAAAAAATGGTCCCAGTCTCCAACAAGGATTTGCTGTGTGACCTTGGGCAAGTAGCATACACTCTCTGGGTCTTAGTTCTCTCACCTGTGAAGAGGAGATAATATATGCAGAACCTCCCTTGCATCAAGCTGGGCTCAGGATACCCTGAGATAATGACCACCCGAGCCTCAGGTGGCCCACCTGACAAATGGGGGCATCCATTCTTATCTTCCCAAGTCAAGGGTCTGGGGGTTCAAACCTGCCCAGGTGGCCATGAGCTAGCTCTGCCAAGGAGCCCATTTCCCAGATGGATCCAGCCTGGTGGAGGCAACTCAGCCTGGCGTCAGGAGAACTGCAGCACTGATGGATCAGGCTGAGGCCTTGTGCTGCAGTCAGTGCCTTCCTGGGGTCTGGTCCTCATCAGGTGAGCAGGAAGACGGAGGGAGCCACACGTTTCCCTCCCAGCCCCCTTCCACACCACCCCAGGAGAAAGTGCTGGACCAGGGGTCCCTGCACTGCAACTTCACACCCCAACCGTTGCTCCCTAGCTGTGTGGCCTTAGCCAACTGACCTCACCTCTCTGAGCCTCAGGTCTTTGTTTTGGACACTAATCCTTGTGTCTAGCCAAGCTGGACTACAGATCCAGCATGTGGCTCTGGAAAATGGAACGTGAGGTCAGTGTGACCAGTGACACTAACTTGCTTGGGCTGTTGGGACTCGTCTGCAGACAGGCTGGGCAGCTAAGCAAGGCCCAGCCTGAGAGGGACAGAGCCAGGGCTGAGCCAGCCAGAGCCCGGGCAGGGGGCAGCAGGACAGTGAAATCTCCAAGCCCTGGGGCCTGGGGCCTGGTCTGGGGGTGGGAAGGGGAAGGCCCGACAGGCCCCTCTGGAGGATGCGGAGGCATGTCCTTCGGAGCTCTGAGTCCGGAGGTGCCTTCCCCAGGTGTCTGGGCCAGGAGGCAGAGGCCAGCTGGAGGGCGGGGACCRGGGTGGGGCCAGGGAAGCCGCTCAGCTGTCCTAGGGAAGTCAGGCCTCAGGCCGCTGGCCTCCTGGCACCCAGGGCCACACGGCACCCAGCACACAGACCCAGGCCATTTGGCACCAAGAGCCGTGCCCAGCTGTCTCTGTGAGCACCCAGGTCAGCCCCCTCTCTCCCCAGACACCAGCCCAGCCCCCACACCCCCCACAGGGCTCSGCCAAACTCAGCCACCAGCCTAGATCCCAGGGCCCCTGAGCCACAGCGGTGAGCGGGCGGGCGGTCCCTGGGGGAGGTATGAGATCCCAGAATTTGGGTGGCCCATCTTCCACTGACCCCAAGCCCCTTTCCCTCTCCTCTTCCTCTAATGCCACCCACTGTACCCCTCCACTTCTAGGCTGGGGCTGGGTAAAAAGGAGGAGCAGGCCCCGACAAGCAGCCCCGCCACAGAACCGGGTCCTCCAAGACGCCCAGGGTCTTCCCACGGAGGACCCTTCGTCACTTCTGGCTTGCTGGGCTCTGTGTGCTGCACTGGGGCCCTCCTACAAGGACCCTGAGCTGGAGAGCCGGCCTCTCGGCAGCTCTGCCTCTATCAGTTGTGTGACCTTGGGCAAGTCATTTCACCTCTCTGGCCTCAGTTTTCTCATCTGAAAGATGGAGCAAACAGGAGTTCCCACCTCTCAGGGCTGCAGTGCTACATAAATAAAATATGTAGCACCTTAGGTCGCTCTGCGTGTGGCTCCGCTCGTACAGAGCGCAGCGTAAGCATCAACCCTGATGGTGCGCCCTGCCCCGGCACTCTGGGCACCCTGGAGGACTGAGCAGGGTTCCAGGGTGCCCAGACGGGGGGCAACCAGGGAGGCCCCCAGGGAGCTCCCCTTCTGGGAGGAAGCAGATTCAAACAACTGGTGACAACCAGAGAATGGAACCACACTGGGACCCGGGCTGGGGCAGAGCGCAGTGGCTGCAGGGCCTGGGCAGGGTCCGGGGCTGTTTCCAGAACCACCAAGACCAAAACCAAAACCAGAAAAGGACTTGGACTCTGAGGTACCAGGGCAGGGAGGGGAGAAGGAAACCCCCCACCAGGACAGAGACCTGGAGAGGGAGAGTGTCACAAGGTCCTCGCCTGGCCTGTGACTTGGTAGCCATGTGGCCCTGGKTAAGGGCCTTCACAACTCTGAGCCTCAGTTTCCTCATCTGCAAAACGGACACCCCCCTCCCCATCACTACTGCCCTGGCAGGGCCAGAGAAAGAAGCAGCGGGAGGGGACGGGGTGGGGACAACTGACACGGCACCTCTGTGTCCTTCTGCCTCACAGAGAAGCCAGCCCTGTGCGGGACCTTGCGGGGAGGACAGGAGTCTGCCAGGCAGGGATGCGGAGGGTGTTCCAGGTGCAGGGAACGGCATGCACAGGGAGACATGCTCGGGGACGGTGGCAATGTCCCACCTCCTTCGCCAGGCCTTTGAGGACACTGGGAGGTGGATTCTCCTCTACCCTCCAGAACCCCCCCACGGTCCACGGCCCCGCGGGCAGCAGCCCTTCCAGCCCTGCATCTCCCTCAGGGCTGCCAACCCCAGCTCCACCTGCACATGACTTCACTGTCCCTCCCAGTCCCTGTGGTCATCACCAGAGGCACACTGCAGGGTCAGGACCTGACCCCAACCCACCCCCTGCCTGCCCCTGGCCAGGGCTGAGGCCACAGAGCCAGCTTGCAGCCACTCTGGCTCCAAAAAAGGACGGACAGGCCTCTCCACTCCAGCCGCCCGGGCCCAGTGCTGGGCCCTGCATGCAGCCGGCCCTCAATGGGGGCTGACAGACCAGAGGGATGGGGAGTTGACAGGAAGGGGGCAGATGCAGTGGCCATGGAGCACCCGGTCTCGGTCTGGAACCTGGTCAAGCAGGGCTGGGTACAGGAAAGCTGGGGAGCCCAGGTGGTGGAGACAGCCAAGGGCCAGGGACCACAAGCAGGGACACTGGGTGGCGGAAGCACATGCAGACAGCAGCCCCCAGCCCAGGCTGAGCGCCCCCACCCGGCCCAGGGAGTGGGTACACACCTGACATCCACCTTCCTCCTGAGGCCAGCGAGAGAGAAGCGAGAGAAGAGGCTGAGAGGGCTTCGAGGAGCAGGCAGGGGACCCAGGGCCTGCTGCGGCCCCCAGGGGCTGCCAGCTCGGGGCACAGCCTGCTTGGGGCCGCGGCACCTCTGCCCGCAGCTCCTGCACAGGCAGGAGCCCACCTCCCCCATGAAGTCCCCCGAGGGGTCCGCAGGCAGGGGTAAGGGGCACTCACGTGTTGTTGACAATCTGGAGCCGCTCCCCTTTCTTGAAGGACAGGTCGGTCTCTGTCCGTGACTCATAGTCATAGAGGGCCACAAAGGTGGTCACCCCACCTGCGGAGACGGGGCAGATGTCAGACCAGCGGGGTCAGGAGTGAGGCCTGCCCTCCCTCATCTCAACACGCAATCCAGGGACCCATGCCGTGGCACTTGTCCCCAGCCTGGGACACCTGTGAGGCCCATGAGGCGCTTGCGCCCTCCAGCCTCTGTCCCTGCTGGGCTTCAGGGGGCGCTGGGTGTGTCTTGTCCATGTGGGGTCTGTCTCACCCCATCCCACTAGAAGCTTCTGAGAACAGACATCTTTGTTCTGGCCCCAGCCCAGGGCTCACAGTAGGTGCTCACAAAATAACTGCGGCTGGAGGAGCCAGGGAATTAAGGGCCTGCACCCTGAGGGGCGGCTGTCCCTCTGGGGATCTGGAGAGAGCCCGGCTGCAGGTGACCGTCCACTCAGAGGCCCCGGGTCCGCCATGTTAAATGACAACCCCCTTTTCCATGCACCCTCCAGCTCCCAGCAGCTTCCCCTCCTAAGGCGCTCACAGTCCCCTCCTGTCCTTTGTCTCCTGGGGCCACTGAGGCAAAGGTCCAGGCTCCGCAGCTATGTTTTGAGCAAATGAATGGCTGTCTGTGGGTCCGTTTGTCTCTCGTGGGTGTGTGTCTGCGTCTAGGCGGTCCATGCTCTCCACGCGTCTGCGCGGCCACCCGTGGACCTGGACACCCCTGAGCAAGGTGTCCCGGGTTTGAAAGGGCCTTGCCCGCGACCAGGGCCTCGGGTTATCTGTGCGCGAACTGCGCGGGGAGTGCGTGTCCCTGCGTGCCGCCCCATGGGCACTGTGCCTGTGAGTGTCCCTGGAGGCTGTGTCCGTGCCCTGCGTGGCTGGCCTGGGAGCCTGGGGACCAGCAGGCGGTGTCTCCCCGCTCTCCGGCCGCTGACTGCTGGACCCCGCGGCGCCGGCAGAGGGCGCAGGGGCGCACTCGGGGCCGCCCGAGCCGCCCCGGCCGCCGGCCAAGCGCGGGCCGCGAGGTGGCAGCCTCGGCCCCGGGCCCGGGGTGGCCCCTGCCTCTGGGCCCAGCGTCCCCCTCCGGACCCGCTACACTGAGCACGTGACTCACCCCTCACAAAGCCGTCCCCACCCGCAGCGCCCGGGACACTCCCTGCGGGGCCCAGGACGAGGACCCGGGGACCCTTCCCCTCCGGCGCGGAGGGGTGGGCACGGACACTGACCGGCCAGGGGCCCCGCCCTCTGCGGGGAGGTGACGGTGTCCGACGAGTTGAAGCCCCCGAAGAGCTTGGGCTCGGCGGCCGCGGGGGCGAAGGCGGCGCCCGGGCCGCGGAGGCCGTCGGCGGAGGCCGGCTTGCTGGGCGTCTGCGAGGCCGGGAAGGCGCCGCCCGCCGCGTGGGTGCTCTCGGCCGGCTCCAGGCTGCGGCGCCGCTGGCTGGCGTCCTTCGGCTTGCTCTTGTTGCTACCCATGGTCCTGGCTGGGACGACAGGGCCGCGGGGTGGAGGGGCGGCCGGGCACAGGCAGGCCACCCACACACGCCCCACGATGGGGAAACCGAGGCCCCAAAGGGGACTAGCCTCTCGGGTGAGTTGGCCTCAGCCCCAATCTCTTCATACTGAGGATACCCCTAAAGGGCTCCTCTGGAACAGGGTGAGGCTTGGGAGAAACACTTCATGACCAGAAGCCCTGACCTCCGAGTCCGTGTTCCAGTCCTTCTATCTGAATCATGTCCATGTCCCCAGCTCCCGGCACACAGGAGGGACTCACTTCATGTTGTTGAGCAATTACATGACAGGTTGGAATTGTCTGACACTGGGAGGCTGGGAAGGTGCTAGAAGGAGGCAGCAAGGCAGGGGAAGTTTGGGGGCAGAGATGACTGGAAGCCCAGCCCCGGAGCCTTTGCATGTGCTGTTCTAAGAAGGCTTTTTCCTGGGGCTGAGGCTCGGTGGTAGAGCACTTCACTAGCATGTGTGAGGCGCTGGGTTCCAGTCTCAGCACCACATATTGATAGAAAAAATAAAGGTCCAGTGACAATTAAAAAGTATTTTTAAAAGAAAAAAAAAAGAATGCCCCTTCAGTTCTCAGCTCAAAAGTCACTTCCTTAGGAAGGGTTCCCCCAGTTTTTTCACTGAATTAAGTAAGCCTCCCTCCTTGTGCCTCTCCTGATCACCTGTGTCCCCCTTTTATTTAAATTCCTGTGCTTTTGTCCTCTTCACTGCTGTGCTCCAGGGATGGTTCAAGAGGGACTCGGGGCAGTGAATCTGGGAAGGCCGGCAGGAAGCTCGGGGCCAACGCCCCCCAGACCGGAGCCCGCCTCCCTCCCCACCCAACATGGCACCCCGCCTGCCCAGGGTGTCCCCTCACCTGGTGGAAGGCAGGGCCGCCCCAGAGGGCCTGGGAAGCAGCTGGGCTCTGGGCACAAACACCAGGCGTGGAGTCGGCAGTCTCACTGCGGAGTCCCTGCTCTGCCCTTCCAGGCTGAGTGTCCTAAGCCAGGCGCTCCCCGTCTCTGGGCCTCAGTGTCCTCATCTCCAAGGGAGGGGCAGCAGACTTCTCAGGGCTGCCAGGTGGGGATGGAGAGGCACGGCAACAGGGTCACCCTGGGTCACTGTGCCTTGGGCCCTGACTCAGGCAGGAGGGCGCCAGGACCTTCCCTGCAGGGGCTTCCCCTGCAGGGTTCGTGGACCCATTGGGAGCGGTGGGAGGGCRGGGTGGGCGCTGCAGCCTGACTCTTGGGTGCAGACCTCACCTCTGTCCCTGGCCAGCCGCGTGACGGGGCACCTTAACGCCCCGCCCAGTGCCACTTCTCCATCCACCCCTAACAAGGTGAAGTGACAGGCCAGGGCAGTGTCCCTGGCGCCCGCACATCAACTACAACACGGTGATGGCCCTGGAGTCAGTCWGGAGTCTTCGCGGAGAACCCAGGAATGTGGAAAAGACCCCTGCCCACCGGCAAGGACCAGCTGGGATCCCCTCCAGGCCACAGGCGGGGGACCGTCCCGCTGACAGGAGGCCCTGGGGAGACCGATTCAACTGCCAAGGGATCACCAGGCCTCCCAAGGGACAGGCCACCAACCTGGGGACAGGCAAGGTCAGTTCCTATGGCAACACATTCCATCAGGGTCACGGTGCCCATCAGCCCTCATGACGCTGGTGCCCCAGGACCTGCTGACTGGTCCCCCGCAGCMCCCTGACACAGGGCCATCCCACCCACTCCCACCCTCTGGCCCCCTGGCCAGGGCGTGGTGGGCAGGGCCTCTCTTGCACAGACCTCAACACATGGTGACTACTGTCACTCAGAGTGGTCTTGGGGGACTGCAGGAAGACAAAGAAAAAATAAACCCCACAGCCCGCCCCGAGAAGAGGACAGCGGGGTCCTGAGGAGGGTGTGCTTCCGGCCTCTCCAACATGACCATGACAACCACAGGCCACCTGAGTGTCCTTGACTCAGCTCCCTGCAGAGAGGGGCAGCCAGGCCCCTGCAACCGGAGGGCCCAGCACCCGCGAGGCTCTGGAAGTGTCTGCAGGACAGACGAGACTCCAGGAGCACGGACAGACACATCTGCTCCCCCCGTCCTCCTTGCCAGGGCCACTTGTGGGGACTGAGGATACTCCAGGACAGCCAAACGCCCCGAACGCCACCTGGCACTGGACCCTGCGTTGGGCACTCGGTGAACCCTGGCTCCTGTCCTGTCTCTAGGAGGTAGACGTTGTCAGTGACCTGGGCTACTGATGACGAGGCTGAGGCACAGGAGGTTGGGAATCGGCCTAAGGGCGCACAGCTCGGTTGCGAGTGAGCAGAAGGGTGGACAGGGCCGTACTGGGCGGCCAGAGTCGGGTTGTCCAGGGTCCCCCTGCCCGCGGCTCTGTGGAGCACCAGGTGCCCTGGGGACTCAAGGGAGGCTGCGGTCCAGCCAGCTCCTGGACAGAGTCCGAGGTTGTAGCCAGCGGCAAGGCAGATGTTTGAAGAAGGACCGGCCCCCTTAGGGCGGGGGTCCAGGCCGCGCACAGGCGCGCTGTGTGACCTTGGAAGGGACCCCCCCCAGTCAGCACTCTGCTTCCCCAGGCCTGAGCTGCCCCCAGGTGCAGTCACCGTGCACTGCTCAGTGAGAAGTCCCCAGGCCACCTCGCGCTCCCTGAGGTGGAGGCAGACCCTTGGGGCCAAGGGGAAGCGGCGGGAGCCATGYGGTGGGGGTGCTGGGCCCAGAGGAAGGTGGCCCCTTCCTGTGAGAGTTCCTGACCGCAGGCTCCGCTCCGCCTCAGCAGAGGACAGTGGCCTGCCCACAGGGCTGGGCGCGGCTCCCTGCAGCCACCACTCSGCCGGCCGATCGCCATACCTAACGGTCCTGAGTGGACCTGGCCTCTCCCTCAGCCCTGTCCCGCTCCAGGTCACTGGCTGGGGCTGGCCCGCAGAGCACCGGCCGAGGGCCAGGTCTGTGCGCTGTGCCCTGTGGCCTTCCCTGCCGGCCCCATTCCCCTAGACAGGGCCCTGCCACCCCCAGCCACCTGCCATCCCAGGCCCCTCCAGCCACCTCCTGCCCCAGGTTGGAGACCTGCCTCATGCTCTCCGTGGAAACCCAAAGAACGTGTCTGGCAGAGGGGCCCCGGCTATACAAACACCGGCCTGGCCCTCCAGGGGCCACCTGTGCGGCGCTCAGGAGGCACAGAGCGCTGTGCGCTGAGGAGACACCAGGAGAGGAAAAGAGGAAGCCGGCCTCGGTTTCCTCATCTGGAGAATGGGGACGATGGTGCCCCCACATCATAGGCTGGAAGGAGGCTGAGGAGAAGCAGCCTGCGACGGTGGCTGTGGCACCTGGTGCTCAGCAAACGGGAGCTGCCACTATCGCTGGAAATGCAACTGGTGTGCACCCGGCGGGGCTGGAGGGTTAGAGAAC